GGATCTTGAAGATTTTGATGCGTACAGCAAGACCCAGATAGTTCCTCCGGAACTATCGGATCCTGCGTTTTTAAGCCGAAAAACGTACTATTTTCGAGATAACGCAAGGCATAGGGTTCGCATCCACACAACCTTACATTAATTGTAGTACTGTCATTGAATACATGTCTCATTTCGTCGACTTGAGGTCTCTATGATCGAGAGAGGGGAGTTTATATTATTTATCGATGGTGTTTTTGATCGGCAAGCCATATCATCGTTAATTTTTCACCAAATCTCAAGATTGAGCCACCAATTTCGAAGGCTTCCTTCTCCTTCAGCCTGACAAAATAGTCCAATCACCCAGAAAATTCAGGCAAACAAGTTATGAAAGAAAATAAACTTTATTTGCGAATAACTGAAAAATTACACACTTTTCCCTTTATGCCCATGATTATATAAAAGATTAATAAATTCCCTACAAAAGGAAAAACAAAATCATCGCAATCGGACAATTTTTAGCAAAGATACAGCTTATTGAAATTTGTAAATATGTTGGTTCCAAACAAAAAGGAAGATTTAAATTAATTTTTGTTTGCTTTGTGGATTATATTTATCGATAAAGTAACATTTAATGTCTTAATCTTTTGATTAGTTGCATTTTCTTATTAATTTGGCTTTTGATAACAATATGCTGTGCGAATTTTTCGCACGGGCCTACTAGTTTTAAATAAATTCTTCCGAGGTCTAGTTTATATATTTAAATTTGAAAATCTAATATTATTTTTAGAAAATTTTATAATTTATTTTTAGTAAAAAAAAAAATATATAGTCTAAATAAATAGGGCTTAACAACCAACAGGAGAGCATAATGATTACTTAAAATTCTACATTTACAGAGGAAGCATAGTTAGCATTGTTTTATATTACCTAGAGGTCAGAGCTGTAGACTAGATTCAGTGGTAGGAGCCTGTAATGGAATAGTAATGGAACTGTAATGGAGTAATAATTGCCAATATTAACTATCAACATCGTTGATTGGAAATGTATGGAGGGTAATTTATCAAATGTTTCTCCAACCCACTCCTTGCTATATACAGAAATGATGTTTTACGTGTTATATGCTGTATTTAGGGTTGTATGTCGAATTTCGTTACAAGATACATTGTTGAAGTGAAAAAATAGTGGCATGTCGCACTTTTTTTGTGGGGAGTAAATGAACGTCAGGCTCGGATGTGTATTCCGGTAAAGTCGGCCCGAGTTGATTAATTGAAATATTTTTACATATGGATTAACATATCTCAGAAATTAAAAATCTGACTTGCATACTGTAAGTAAAAGAAATGTTCACCATTTAATCCTCTTTGTAATGAGCTATTTATTCATAACTATATCTTAATGCGAAACTGTGTTAGGAAGACGAAAAGAGAAAAGTGTGTTGCGAACCAAATGATAACAACTTTTATTGTGGATATGGATTAAAATATCTCAGAAACAAAAAACAAAAAAAAACAGACCTGCATACCGTAATCCAGAGAAATGTTTAGCATTTTATCCTCTTTATAATAAGCTATAAATCGAAATAATATTTTGACGTGACGCCGATTCAGAGAGTCGAAAAGGAAAACAATAAGCCGAAAAGTCGAAAAGAAATAGAGCCAAAAATTCTACGAAAAATTGACAACGAACCTTGTTACATTCCAAATAACATTATACATAACGAGTAAAACATCCCAACAGCAAAATATTATATTGACGACAGATACACTGCATTTTATTCTTTAACTGAAAATAACTTCAATCTATTAGTCCTTTCTATTACCTGTTCCCTGTTATTTGATCGACGCACACTAAGAAGAAAATAGGCTTACTCCTGCAATAATAACAAAAGAAAGGTAATCAAGCAAACTCAAAGCTTAATCCTAATTCGTCTAATTTGCTTGGTGCGTTGCAACGCAGGTCGAAATGGTATAGAATGTTAAAATAAAATAAAAATATAATAAAACTACAAGGGTATGTTTGCACAATGATGGAAAATAAAAATTACACACAAACACACACACACTCACACATATATATATATACAGTAATGATGTTGTAAGTTGGCTGATAATCTGTTGGATGAGAAGGTTATGGCTTCCCGTTAATATGATCAATGAGCTGCCGTTGAAAGGCTGGGCTTATCTCAAGTGGGCTTTGTTCTATATGGCTTCGTCACCATCAACGGCATTCGCAAATTATAAATATAATACCCCCTACAAATAATATTATAAATTATAATCTATATTAGGAATCAAATAAGTAATAACTCCAATTTTCTCTTTGTTAATTCCATTATTTCTTTAATTCAAAGTCATTCAAAGTCAAATCATCTTCACCAACAGGAAAAAAAAAACAACGTTTGAATTGGTTTAAGTTCTTCGGTGATTTTGAGATAGAAAATACTTGCTAAGTGTAATAATTAAAGATTCGATAGTAGACCTTAAGATCTACAAAAAAAAGTGTTATAAACCATAGACTTATATTCCGCAGAAAATTAGTGGACTTTTGGTTTTATTTTTAAATTAAATCATATTGTTGTTGAATAGGGGTTAAAAAAGAACAACATTAATATAGCTAATTACCAAATACTATATAGTAAACCATTCAAAATTACTCCAAAGGAAAAGTAAAATTTGTCTTTGTTAAACCATTATAAATGGGCTTTTAATTGGCTAAAGTACGATAAGTTTCCATTGTAGCCATCCGTAGCTCTATACACGATCTCTTTGGAGCTAATCTGGCAATCTCCTTCCCATCGACAACATCGTGTTCAGGGACAGTGACAAATCAGTCTGGATCCATAGATTATGGCTGCTAAGAGTCAGTAGGCGCACGAGGACCTATATTCCTTTTCTCGAAACATATCGTCCATAGATCAAATCTCAGTAACTAACATCCTGGTAAATCACATCCCGATTCCCTATTTAAGTAAATGGGGTAGGGTCATCAGTCCTACGCCCGGCTGGTGTGAGTTGCCTCCAGTATTCTAACGGGGCAAATAGACGCAGGGGAGGGGGAGAGTCAGACAGTGTGGCTTTCCCTGGAGTACGGTCGCTCAAATCGGCCGGTCACCCATCCAAGTACTAACGATGTTGCTTAACTTTGATAACCTATTGCGAGTTCCTTAGCCCGCAAGGCTACCCCGTTTTTGTATTATGAAAACGAGTCTCTTATTTTTTTTTTAAAGTGCTGCATTTCTCGAACCACTGAAAATACTGTTTCACACCCCAGGTTTAGAACCACTAATCTTGCGGATTTATCTCTTCTCTATAAAATATCCTTGCTTTTGATAAAATTCACGGCCCAGAGGTGGAAATAAATTTTATTATTGTAGATTTTTAAAGGGGGCAAATATTTATTGTATACACTACAGCAGTTTCATTTGACCCCTGTTATTTTAGAGAATCGAATTTTCCATTTTTTTTAGGGAGATTCGGGGGGGGGGGGAGGGGAGGGAATAGGGAGCAACCCGAAACCTTATCCCCTTGAATCCGCTAGTGATCGAATTTCCTGAATTATATCACGCAGCTGTGAAACCTCTTACTGATTATTCCATAATCTTGTAATCAAATTGTTATTATTTGACATGCGATTCCATCTACTCATTGCTGATTGACTAATATTGTACTGTTTTACACTAATCTGTGTGGTAACAAACATTAAATTAAATTTTAAAATAATATTAGCTCTATTCTGATATAGTAATCTAGCGTGAATTGTAATTTTTCCCCCTGGCATTTGATTGACCCATGTAGTGTAGTATAATAAGTGATAATTAGTGAGAGGTTGCGTTGATATTTAGTTTTTTTTTATTCGGTTTTCCTCCTCAATACGAGAAAAATATCCTGGAGGTAAAATCCAATTTAATCCAACTAGTGTGGGAATATCCAACAAGTGGGAATATCGGGATTCGTTGTGTGGAACCTCCACGAAATAAATTTTCACCTGTCCAGACTGGATTTGCCGCTGCTGGGCTCAAGAATCGCAACGCTCGGACATCATGGCCTCATTTAAGATTACTTATAGTTTATCTGGTCACTAACTTGGGGAATTTTTACAATTACAGCCACAGCTGATCTTTTTGCACTTCTACAAACCTCCCTTTTGAACATGTCAACCTGAAGGTTCTAATGCCTTCTTACCATCTATACCGGAATATAGAAATAGAAATAGAAATAGAAATAAAAAATAACTTTATTCTGGGACAAAGTCCCTTTAGAATAACAACATAGAACATAATTAAAAGACTACATCTGGCCAAAATAAAACAATAATAAAAAAAGAGAAGGTATAGAAAATATTAGTTAAATAAGCTATATACAAAAAAAATCTATGTACTAAACACTTCAAACTATGATAAAACACTTAAAACTATGTACGGTAGGAAAAATTATAATGATACACTTTTGAAAAATAAAATAATAAAAATACATTGAGTTCTTCTTTAAAATGAGCTGTATTTCTGCTAACAAAGGAATGACAATACAGTGTTAAAATACGTTTTTTTTTTTTTTACTATAACTTTTATGTTTTCTGTTATTCGATCTAGAAGTGTTTAAAAATAATTTTATTGCAAGAGCGTTTATCATTTTTTTTTTTTAAGTTTGACAAATAATGTTTTGTTTAATGTTAATTCTTTCAAATACCACTATTTATATTGAATAAACTTCTTAAAGAAACCAGTCAATCAATATATCATGATATGATGGCAAAGTGATGATTTGATGATTTGTTTCCAAAACATAAATTATCAAAAAAAAAAAAAAACTAGGCGTACAATCTTACATACATATTTCACCATCCTCATGGTTGATATTATTATAAAATTTAAGAGGAGAACCAACAATACATAACTTCGATATTGGAAATTATAATTAGTAAACTGTCCATCATTTGGATTTGCTGATAACATTGTGCTAGCTGACTGTAGAGAAAAGCTACAGAAAAATTTAAATATCTTGACAGAAGAGCTAGCAAAACTAAATATGGTTATTAGCACTTCCATGACCTAGTGCATGCTGGTGTCCAGAAACAAGAAGAATATGAGGATTCGCATTAATAAGGAGATAATAAAGCATGTTCCTTGCTTTAAGTGTTTGGATGTGACGATCTGTGAGAGCGGGAAAATCAGAGATGAAATTAATACGAGAGTTGGCAGTTCCTGAAGGATGTTCTCTGCCATCAATAGAAAGTTTCAAAGTAAGAGAGAGTGGCAAAAGAAACAAAATTAACCATCTATCGCTCTCCGTTCGATCCTATCCTTACTTATGGAAGCGAATTTTCGGCCCTAAAGCTCGAGATCGCAGCCTCGTCCAAAGCATGGAAACGAGGTACCTGAGGAAAATAGAGAGGAAGAAAATAGAGAGACCGGGTACGTAACTCAACGATACGGATTACACTAAAAATTAAGCCCCTCAACCAGATAAAACCAACTTCAATGGTTCGGTCATGTTATGTGGAAGGATGCTTTTCAGTGAAAAAAACTATGGAGTCTGAACCAGCTAGGAAACGACCTAGAGGAAGACCAAGAACTACTTGGGAAGATAATTTAAAAAATAATCTTAAAGTTAAAGGAATTGAATGACCGGAAGTGTAGCACATAGACAGAGAAGGATTGAATTCCTTGCAAAAATCTCTACACTGAAAGGTAGAAGAGATTATTAAACTAGAAGAATAAGAACATGCTTACAGGGAAAGTAATATTATTGGTTAGCACATACAAATTACAGTATTTTTAAACAAAGTATCTTTATTATCAATTGTTGAGAAAATCAATTTTTTTTTTGTGATATATAAATATTTAACTGTATCTATAAAATCTATTAGAAATGTAGCTAGAAGATTAAAATGAAACATGTAGCTCGAGCAATTCATTAGGAATTCTCCAAACAACAATGAATGCCTCAACAATATGCAAGAAACCAAGTGGTAGGCCATTAACCTGATGGGTTGATCTAACCAACGAAGATTCTATTGAGCTGAATGCAGGTAATTTGGATGGAGTAGTAATAGATAAACAGTTATGGAGAAGAGTGGTTAAGGCGGAGAAATAATTACAAGGGCTTAAATCTAACTGAAAATATATATTTATGTATATTTTATACTCATTTATTTTAGTTATTCATTGATAGAAAATAAAATTATCTAAATTGTTACAGCTATAATTTCTATAAATGTGAGAGATGTCTATTAAGAGAAACCACTTGTTGCTAATGAATCTCTTCGACGGTTGATAATAATATCCCATGAAGCAAGAAATTTAAATATTCGGGTCATATTACCTTGCACACTCAATTACATTTCTGTAATTTTTGTCGACGAATCAATAATGTTAATGAAAATATCTTATTTTTGTATATTTTAATATTAGTTTGCACCTCTCAATAGCTATTTTATTGTCGGAAAATGTTCTGACGATATAGGCAGACATAGGGGTGGTTAGGTTTGATTAAGTTTCTTTGGTTACTTAAGAAAAGAGATCTCTTGTCCAGCGCCTTATTAGTCATTAGTCAAAAAATATCTTTCCTTTGTTTTATCTCACCATGCCTGAATAAAAACGTTCAGATTAAAATTTATTTTATTAGCGCATGTTTAGAAAGTAGAGCTAAAATAGTTTTGATAGTGTCGGTTTCATATTCAGCTGAATATAAATTTTTTTTATTAGTTTTAAAAAGTGCCACCTTAATATTATAGAGCTACAGGTAATTCAGAGAGGTATGGCGTTAGCGCTTGAATTGTATTGCAGTCCAAATTTACATAGTGATAAATAGGCAGGACGCAGTCATTTTTAAAGTTTTTATTGATGCGTACGTTTCAACCCAAGCATATTGGTCATCATCAGGGCGTGTTTCGAGCACTGAAGGTGTTCAAGTACTTGAACAGTGCGTTCTGATTACCTTACATTTTTTTTTTTTTTTTTTTTTTTTTTTTTTTTTTTTTTTTTTTTTTTTTTTTTTTTTTTTTTTTTTTTTTTTTTGTATAGCAATGCTCAATCACCAAAGTACCCAGGAGCAAAATAAATTAACTAAAACGTAAAAACTGCATTGATTGACAAGCAGGACTTAATAATTCTCAATAGTGTAGTACACTAACAATGATTTTATCAACGTGGATTATCACTGATGATTTTTAATATTTCTATCAACAAAATAATTTCCCTTGATTTTAGTGAACTTTGTACCTAACTAGGGACAACTATCCCATATGTATGGTAAGCGCACCAGCGATGAACATAGCTAAGGAAAGTTTTGTTACATTTGGCTTATGCCGTATTTATAATAGTTATAAACTTCTCCGTTGGACACTTAGAATCTCTTGGGTCTCATTTTTCTATTTAACACTTTAAAATTGAAAATATACTTATGCAGGTATAATTTCTATTTAAAAAAAAAAAAAAAAAATTGTACACTAGTGATGGACATCCCGAACTTCAATTGTTCTAGTAATGGACAGGGGTTAAGTACCAGTAATGAACATACCTCAGAAAAAAATTAAATTTTTATTTAACTATTAAGTTAACGTTTAAAGATAAGATAAGATAAATGTTTAACTTACTCTCAGCAAAAGTGTTAGTAGAAAGGTATGAAACACACTGATCTCAAGAGCACTATAAAAATAACAATGACAGGTATTTTAAATTTTAATTTTGTTCAAAGAGGGCATTGTTCCTCAATATTGAAAAAACTGGAACCTTTAAATCAACAAAGAAGGTTATTTTTTACATTTAAAGTCCTACCCGTCTACTATTGGGCCCCCACTGGGTGTTGAGTTCGCCCTATTATTTAAGTCTTTAATATTGTTTAGTATAATAGTCTATGGTTCAGACTCCCTTTTTTAAAATTATTAAACTTCGTGAAAGGTTACGTAACCGGCATTTTTTTTTAATAATAAATAATAATAATAGGCTTAGCGAACCCGAAGCTCATTACTACTAATTATTACTTATTATTACTACTACTAAGCTTAGCTTATTACACACGTCCCTCCACCGTTCACCGTCCAAATCCAGTCCCTTCAGATCGGCTTTAATACAATCTTCTCACTTTCGCTTCGGTCTACCCCTCGGATTTTTACCATTCGGTACAGCAAATATTAATCTTTTAGGAATTCTCTCGTTACTAAGTCCAGCAATTTTACAAGTCCATTTGATTCGCCGGAATGAAATGACCTCAATTATATTAAAAGAATACAGTTCACTCAATTCGGCGTTGTGTAACCATAATTTTTAATACTATATTTATATTTACCAGTAGTTTTTTTATCTATTAAAATTCTCAGAATTAGAGCCCCTTTAGCAAAAATGAGGTAAGAATAAAAAATTGTTACATACGATATTTTGTACTAAGAGAAACGATAAATGAATTATGTACAGCTGATTTAAAACATATTATCTCTACTAAAAATTATTTATCATTTTATTCCTTTTATTGAAACATTTTATACATTTCTACGTTGGTCCATTCGGAATGATTTCATTCATCCTTAACGTAAGAAGAGACTTTTCCTTTCTTTGAAGTATGCCCGCAAAAGTGACAGTGTTACTTCGATTGAAACAGATTTTCGACAAGAAAATTGGGCTCCTAACAGGGAAGGCGATACGTCACATCTTTGCGTATAACCTGAGCCCAACTCTTCTCCGATTTCTCAAGAATATCTTACAACTCCAAAAGAATAAGTGGCTAGTTTGATCGTTTGATCATTCGGCCTTTTGCATATAATTTTTTATTTATTTTTTAATTTTTATTTTAGACATATAATATTCTGTCACGGGGACAATAATTATATTGATGAATGAACACATTCACACCGTATATACAAAAAATAAAAAAATAAAATTAACAAAAGTAAAATAATAACTAAATAATAGAAAAAAAAATTAAATTTGTCACAGCTTGTATAGCTAAAATGAAATATTAATAGGTATGATGATTGTGGTATTTCATTCAAACAAAAAAAATATTTTGCAAATAAACCCTTTCGGTTTTGCAAGGTGAAATAAGTAATTTATTATAGGTATAAAATTTATTTTAATCTACAATATATTTACCATTATTTGTATGGCCACTAACCGTGCGTATTTCGCGAATTTAATGCTTTTTAAATCATCCTTGATATCAAGGAAAACGAAAATAAGGCTATACACTACCTTAATAAGACGCATACTTACTTACGCGGCTGTACTTACTTATTTCTATTTTTTTTAAAGTTTATTTATTTATTTATTCTATCTTATTATCTATAATTGTATATTGTTATTTTTATTTATTTATTTTATTCTATCAATCCTTTTATCCTTTTTTTTTTATGCTTATTTTTTGAGCCAACCACCTCAACAGTATAAAAGTAGTGTTATTTAGTTGATCGGGCGCTGATGACCTGGATGTTTTGCTCCTAGATGTCGAAACAAACAAACTTACTTACGCGGCTGAAACATGGACGATTACTGTCACCATGACAAATTCGTTAAGGATCTTCGAGAAAAATATTTGGCCCCTTGTACGATGAAACAACTCAAGAATGGAGTATTAGAACCAATATGGAACTATATGATTTACTTACACACTATAATTACACTTATGATTTACACACTTCAATCATAATAAAATTGTGAAATTTATAAACTCACGGCGGATCGAATGGTTGGGACACGTTCTTTGAATGCCAGATGAGAGAATCCCAAAAAAGATGCTCAAAGGAAGAATTTATGGTGTCAGAGGAAAGGGAAGGGCGAGAAGAAGGTGGTTGGAGGATGTGAAGGTCGACCTCAGCCTGTTAAGAGTTACGAACTTGAGGGAAAAGGCTTAGGACAGGGACATCTGGAGAGCTGTTGTTCAGGAAGTTAAGGGCCACCCCGGGCTGTAGAGCTGTCGAAGAAGAAGAAAAAGAAGATATTGACCATTATTTATATGACTTTTTCACATCATTCCACTAACTGCATAACGCCATGTTCATAGAATGTCTGGAGTTTATTGTTAAAAAAATAATCCAAGCGGTTTTTGATGTAAAATTTCTTTTGGAATTTCTTTCCATTCATGGATTTCAACAGAGATAGGAATAAGTGATAGTCACTTGGAGCTAGATCTGGCGAATAGAGAGGGTGGGGCAAAAGGTTCCATCCAAGGCTCAATAATTTATTGGAAGTGACCAACGAGGTGTGGGCCTAGCGTTGGCATGGTGAATTACAGAAACCTTCCGATCATTCATAACTCAGGATGTTCTCCAAATTCGATGCTACTATATCCTTTGTGAAGCTGAATAATTGTTCTCCAAAGTGGTATGAATGTTTTTTTGATTTAATGCCTACATAAAGAATAAATAAACA